CGAGTATATAACAAACTCTGTATTTTGAGTGGAAATGTTAGGGGGTCGTCTTATACGCCCAGTCGTCTTATACGCCGGCAAATACGGTATATATCAAAAGAATTGAAAACAGGTATTCAAACAAAAATTTTCTACATGAGTGTTCATAGTAGCACTGATGCAGGATTTTTGTGGGTGTGTGTATGTGTGTATGTATATGTATGTGTATGTGTGTATATATGTACATACCGGGATTCGTGGTCTCATAGTACAAAAGAATGGAGACACAGACCAGAGAGGTAAAGTTTGTAACAGAGGATAGTTTATTAGAGCAGAAAGTAACAGCTCTCAAAACGAGAGGGGGTGGTCCCCGACTGGATTGCCTACTAGTTAGAGCAAAGGTTTTGTTTTTATACCTTCTGTATGTCTGGGGAGAGGGGCTGCCTGGTGCCTGTTGGTGCTGTTATCAGATTTACATTGTTGCTAGCCCGGAGGAGGTGTTTTCTCGAAACTCTAATTTCCTTATAGCTTACTCAGCTTAATCAGTGTCTCTGCTCTGAGAGGAGTATGTTAGTGGAGACTGTGGCTTTGAAGATAGGACGCCTGACAGTCTTATGTTATGTTAAATATCTCTTTGAAGATATGCATTCTACCTGGGGATCCCTGACTTGGAAAAAGAGGCCTTCCTCCTGTCACTCTGGCGGGTCCTGTGACTTAAACCTGTGTGTCAGCTAATAAAAGTATTTCCCTGGCTTTGTTATGATTTCCTCCCTGATTCTCTCTACCGTTGCCATTTACCTGACTGCTAATTTTTCCTATCTCAGCACTATTCACGATATCAAAAAGTAGAAACAATTCAGATGTCCATAAATGGATAAATGGATAAACAAGATATAAATACGTACATGCAATACAATATTATTCAACTATAAAAGGAATCAATACCAATACTTGCTACAACTTGGATGAACATTGAAAACATGGTTAGGTGAAAGAAAGAAGCCAGACATTAAAGGCCACATGTTGTATGATTCTATTTATATAAAATATTCAGAATAGGTAAATTCATAGAGAAAAGGTCAGATTTGTGGTTTCCAGAGATTGGAGTGAGGGGGGAATGGAGAATGACTGCTTAATGGTTCCAGTGTTTCTGTTTGGATGATGAAAAAGTTCTGGAATGAAATAGTGGTGATGGTTGTGTAACACTGTAAGTGTACTTAATGATAGTGAATTGTATACTTTTTAATGGTTAAAATGGTAAATTTTCTGTTATGTGTATTTTACAATAATTTTTAAAAACAAGCCCTATAGTTCCTTCATCTCCTATTACTGCTTAATGTTTCTTGTTTGCTTTTTCGACTTTTTACAGAGAAGCCAAGGGTTTAAAAATTAACCCTTTAGTTTTTCCTTCTCAAGCTAGTCAAAAGCAATGTGAGAAATGATCTATTAATAAACAAAGGAATATACCTTTTCAGATGCAAATCAGTGACTTAGAACATGATACTAAAGTGTTGTAGCATGGAGGAATGAATTTGGAGCAGGAAGACTAGATGCTGATAATTGTGTTTCCTTCTTTTCTTAAATATTGAAAGTTAAGGGTAAAAAAATAGTTTTTAATTCCAGTGATGATAAAGGATTTGAAAAGAATCTTTTCTCTTAGTGGGAATTACTTAGAATTAAATATACTATAAAATACATAAAGGACATTTTTATTTCTTAAATTTTTTGTTGCTTTCTGATTATGGAAGAAAGTAAAAGAAAACGAAAGTCTCCTCTAATTCAAGTTCTCAGAAATAATCATTGTTAAGGGTAGTATATTTTTTCCTCAAGCATTTTCCCATTCACATAACAACAACTACATAACTGTGTGCAAGACAGAGTTGTAGAATTAAACATATATTCTCTCTTTCAATTCTTCCAGCAAACCTAAAAAAAATGGAGGCACAGTGATTAAATAATTTGTCCAAAATTTCACGGCAAGGTTAGGGGGTTGGAGGCTTAATCCAGAATTTGTGTTCCTAACAACTATAGGTATATGGTGCTGCCTCTCAAAATATAAAAATCCACGTGATTAAAATCTAAATTAAACAAATACATTTTAAAATAATGGAATTAAAGTAATAACTTACTTTATATTATATATAATATACTTTATATAGAATAATAGCCTTATTGAGTATTTCCTATGTGCTATTTGATCTGAGTGCAGTTACACAGATGTATTCACTTTGTGAAAATGCATTGAGTCTGCCCTTACAGCTTGTGTACTTTTCTGTGTATAGATTTTTAAAAAAATGTTTGTTTATTTTTCTTTGAAATAATTTTTAAAAATTTTCAATTACAGTTGTCATATTACATCAGTTTCAGCTGTACAACATAGTGATTGGGCATTTATATAACTTAAGAAGTGACCACCGCAATAAGTCTAGTAACCATCTGACACCATACATAGTTATTACAGTATTATTAACTACATTCCCTATGCTGTACTTTATATCCAGTCACTATTTTTTACAACTGCCAATTCGTACATCTTAATCCCTCCCCCCCCTTTTTTTTAAAGATTTTTACTGGGGAATTGGGGAAGGGGAACAGCCAAGTTGTTGTCCTTCANCTCTTTTTAGCCAAATCTTGCTTATTTTTCAGTTTCCAGTTTAGATTCACTTCCTTCAGGAAATCTGTGATGCCTTTTCTATGTGGTTTGTTAAATTGAAATTTTAAAAATGTTATCGTATTTCATAATGTTGCTTTTATGTGCAGAAAGAAAATGGTGGTTATATAAAAAAAAATCAATGGAAACCTTAATGAAATATTAAATGTATCCATGACAATGGCCAAGCAAATGAAAAAGTGTAAGCAGCTTTTGAAATTCTTATAATGGTTTATGGCAAACTGCAATGTAGTTTAATTGTGCTTTTCTCCATAAAGTGCCTGCCGGCCTATCTGGACTTGACCCTAAGGACGTTGTGGCCGTGCTGAATGAGGAGGGAGGCTACCATCAGATTGGACCAGCAGACCGTTGTACCGACTTCTTCATCATGTCAGTGACCATAGCATTCGCCACCCAGTTGGAGCAGGTGTGACTTTCCGTCAGATTAGTGAATCACAAAGAACTTGAAAATTGAATTTTATTTTTTAAATCTGCCTTTCAGGTGTTAAAAAATTTTGCAAATTGACTCTTTTTTACTTTTTAAAAATAATTTAGAAAAGTGTTTTCTTTCATATCCAAAAACATTTTTGCTCTAGGAGAAGAATAAATCCTGGTGATCTTGGTAATAAGAGAATGAATTAAATCTCTCAGAATTTAGAAGCAAGATCATTACTAAACATTGTTTCCCATTGTACTGCTTGGCATTGTAAGAACTGGTATGAAAGGATGTTCTTCAGAGTACTGACTAATTTACTTTCTGGAGAAATGTGCAGTGTTGGGAACACTTTGTCTCAGTCATACCTTAATAGCTATTGGATCTGAGATTAGATTTTACCTTATTTACAAACTAGCAGATTAGCCTGTTACTGTTTCTTGGATGCTGCCAGAAGACAGAAGGTTCTTGGGTCAGAGACAAAGGAATGTATTACCCAACACAGCAAGCAGCATGAATATCCGTGTATTTCCTTCAGTTCCCCTTTCTCAAGTTCCATGGAGGTGACACAGTGGGCCCAGGTGGTGGCTCTGCAAACGTGAGTTTGCATCTTAGTTGGGGAACACACCACTTTTATTGTAAGCAGTGCTGGTCTTTGTCATGAAGACATGTCACCTTATAACAAGGCTACCAGCTGCAGAGACAACACTAGGAAGTGGCCTGGGTAAGTGGTCAGGGCCTTACAGTCTTGACACAGTCAGCAAGGCTGTGCAGGGATGCTCATGCCCCGTGGCGGATTGCCTGTCCCCCAAAATGGCTCAACACACATTTAGCTGTTATTCTATTGTCCTTCTCAGATCAAGTCTTGTTTTCTTGAAATAATGTTGGTATATAGCAGCTGAACTAAATATTTTTGAAAATACAAAATATGGCTTTTGACTCTAAAATTTTTATCAGACTATTCACTTTCTTAGAGGTACAAGAGTCCCACATAGTCCACAGTTACAAGTGAATGAGTTAGTGACCACATGTTTGTCTGACTTGTAAGATTTATCAGGTAAAATTTTTTCTTAAATATATTTAACTTTGTCATACTGAATTCATGCCCACTACAAAAAACACTTTTAATATTTGTATTCTTTGAGCTTTACTCTTTCTCCCCTAATTTGGTACTGTCATTTCCTCATTGACACTTTATGTCTGTGCTTTTGTCTTTCTACATCAATTGCCTTATTTTCTTCTTCATAAATCTCTGCTTGTGGCATAGTATGCCTCTCTGATTGGGGGCAAAGCCAGTGTCCACTATCTTTTTATTAAACACATCAGAACACACATTAGGTAGTAAAACACATCAGAACACACATTAGGTAGTAAGTCTGTGTTTTTTCTGTGCTATTAAATATCTGCAAAGCGTTTTAAATTGTCACTTTATTTTTAATATTTTTCAACTCCCTAGGGAGGTGTAATTGTTACAATTTACAATTGTGTGTTATGTTCTGTGAAATAGGCATTCTTCCATCTACTTTGTATATGTTGCATTTAATCCTACCACAACTTTAGGGGATTATTATTTTTATTTGCAAGATGAGGAAACCAAGTCTTAGGAAGGTTTTACAGATAGCAAATGGCCTAGGTATTTCAGGCCAAATGGTCACTTTTCACATTTTTTTGTTCTCATATTGTGCTCTCTTGCCTCTTACAGTGATTGCAGTAATGGATTTGAGTTGGAATCTCATGCTCACTATTTAGAAGTTTCTTTTCACTTAGCAACTTACTTAACCTGTCTGAGGCTTGAATTTTCTCAGTTATACAGTAGTGACACTACCAGTTTGCAGATGTGTATGAGGAATGTGATAATATAATAACTAATGTGCCTACCGTATTATGTGCGAAGCTATATTTGTATCTTAAAAACTTGTGGAGGTAATGGACCTATTGGATCCACAACTAAAACTAATACAGTTTTTGGTAATATAAGTGACTTATTGGGACAAATCACTCAGTATAGTTTTTTTGTTTTTGTTTTTTTAAAAAAACAGGTTGAGGCCAGCCGAGTGGCTCAGTTGGTTAAGAGCTCGCTCAAGAGTTTGAGCTCTGAGCAACAGGGTCCCCGGTTTGATTCACGGCCCGAGCTGAGCTGCTGCTGAGCTGCCAACAGGTGGCAGGATGGCTCAGCTAAAAAAAAAAAATGAATTAAAAAATAAATTAAAAAAAAACAACCAAAAAACAGGTTGATATCTGGCAAGCTGCTTGCTATCACTATTAAAAATTAAGTTAAATATGTTTCTCAAAATAGTAAACAGAGTTACCATATAACCTAGCACTTTCACTCCTAGGTACCGTATTTGCCGGCGTATAAGACGATTTTTTGGCCCTGAAAAATATGCCTCCAAGTGGGGGGTCGTCTTATACGCCAGGTACACTTCAG